ATTGTCAGCTTCTGAGTTTCTGTTGCTTTCATTAATTTTATCTTTTCATCTAATGTAAGAGTTCTATGATTTTCGCATTGTTTAACAGGCTGTGAAACTCCTAAAAATACACACCATTTCACTGCCTTATGGCTGCAATCGGACTACTTGCTTTCAACGCGCAATGCATCACAGTCAAGAGTACTCTGATTTTGTTATACCCTCGCATGCCCTTGAGCAATGCGTCTCAGGCTGATGTATTAAGATTTTCAAGACCTTCCCACGCTCTAGCGTTTGGGGGAGGGGAAGCGTTTGGGGGAGGAGCGTTTGGGAGACGGCCTACGCCTTGAGCGTCACGTATATCGCAGGTCAAATTCTACGCTATCAGCTGAAGGCTCTCCCTGTCACAGAGCGCTTGTCACGACTAAATCGCGTGGAACAGTTAATATAAACGCTTGCAAATTTATGCATTACATTAAAACTATCTCGCGTCTCTGCTAATTGCAATAAATTCACAGGAATTCCGTTTAAGAAAGATTTCCTCCCCCTAAAGGACTTCTTTTCTAGATTACATTTGAGTTTTCGAAAATTGCGAAAGTTACACATTTCTCGAACCCAGTCCTACAACTAGATTATTGAAGACAGCTGTTTCCACAATAAAATATGTTCTACAAAATTGAGTTTTCAATTATCGTCGAGAACGTTCTTTTGAAACTGTTAGTAACTTTCGCCGAATTTGACGAAATTTGGGCACTTTAAAAATATCTTACTTCACTACAATTTTTTATTTACTTTTTTTGTACAAGTAGTACTAAAGTTATCCCTTACCATGACCATTTGATTTGTTCTATTGAATGGTGAAAGATTACACAAATATATTTTTCGTTAAATATTTCACACGTAGGTTTTTTTATAAATGTATTTTATAACTGAATTTCTTTCTGAAATCAAATATTTCAAATGATCTGTTGTGAAGTTTGTTGAAATCTCAAGTTTCTGCCGGCTTAGGTGCCTCGGGACATTAATTAATGTCACTGCCGTGCCTCTGACCTGGGAGTACTAGGGTCGAGACGGTGGCAAGATTTTCGACACTAGCTAGGTCGAATTCAGCCGCTGTCTGGATGAGAATTCTAGCGGCCGGCTTCTCTGATCCGTAGTTTTTCGTAGTTTCTCCAATCAACTCGAGACGGATGCCGGAGCAGTACCCTAACAAACGGTCCATGGACCGCGCGCGTTCACGCCTTCTTCTCCTTTGTCCTATCCTCACCCCTTGCATATACGACTTGACTCTTACATTCACTATACTACCACAGAAGCCGGGAGACCGGTCGGGAGCTTAGTGTTTGTACCGGCTGGGGCGGAGTCCCGCTGTTTGGGGATAACCCCGCAAGTCTCTCGTCTAGGTCGGCACCGATTCTCGCGGTCGGGGGAAGATCACCGCCACCATTCGCGATAAAAATGCACTACATTTACGGGACTAATGACGTAACGAGCAAAGGGCGCTAAAAATGGTGCAGGTCTCATATTCGATGAACTCTTTTGAATTTTCGATAATTGCAAAAGTTAAATATTGTTTGGTTCTTCCTACACCTACACACTTGGTGATAGAGATTTGTTTCCTTCTGTTCTTCAAATTCAGATCTTTAAATAAGGAGATGTAAAATGTTCACACAAAAAATGAGCTCTGTTTGAATTAATAAATTTTACGTTAGACAAAAAAATTAAAAGTTTCCAAATTTTTCCTTGAATGTTTTTCCTTAGACGAAGTAAAGGGCACTTAAAATGGCGGAAGTCTCATTTTCATTTAACTATATTTTTTTAATTGCAAATGTTACAAATAATGCCAGAAATTACGTGCTGTTGAAGCACCTCTTGTTTCTTATAAAACAAATCTGTTCCAGAAAGTGGGATCGTCAAATAAGCTCCTGTGAAATTTTTTGAAAACATCACATAATGCATAAAGTAATGCAAGAAAGTATGTAGTCTTGTAGCTTAGTTTATACGTGATTCTCATTTGTTCATTTCGAGGATTTCAGGAGGGAGTAGAAGAGATATGTTTACTCGTCAGCTCAAAATAAATTGTTTTTTAAGTGTTTTTTAGTCTATTCAACATTAAGCTAAACATTGCAATTATTAATGGTTTATACCGGTATTCTATTTTTTAAATGTGAGTTTCATAACGTGGTAATATGTTGGTTTTATTTGAAAAAATTAAAAAAGATGTCGAGCGTGAAGAATGAATATAATGATGTATGTGCTATAATGTACAGAATGTCTCAGAAAAAAGTTACTCATGTCCTAGGGTATAGAGGATGTAGAGGAGTCGAGTGAGATCATTTTTTTGTTCAATGAACATATGGTAGGACATCTTATATAACGAAGTAAAAAGTGAGATTTTTCCGTTAATTGGTAGCCAACTCACGTACACTCATGTTTTTCTGGGCATGAAATATTTTTGCATCAGAAGGTAAAGTAAGTATTTAATGTTAAAGCTCCATCATTGTTTTTTTTTACAGGTTTGGTACTGGACGCTTCTTGATGTGGCAAGCGGAAGCACTTGCGGGAGTTCTATTTTTCCCCGCGGTTTTTACAGAACTTTGGTCACAAACAGGGACAGTGACTGCGTTCTTATGCAGTTGGTTGTTTTCTAGCTTTGTGTATTCAGTGGTAATGTATATTACATTTTCCTCTTTGCATGACAGTATGAATATTTCTCATTTGTATTTCCAACCGTTATTTTAGGGAAATTGTATGCTACTCATATCAAATTAATCATCTTCTCATCCCACAAAAAAGTTGATAATCAATATCATTTTATTTATTTTTTATACGTTTTATTTATTTTTCGTGCAAAGCAACAAACATACCAATATTCACAAATAAACCTGTGTTACTTTCAGTAAACCTGAATGCGACATGTGGGAGGAGAAGTATAATCTGCCTACATTTTCTTGCTGTGAAAAATCCCTATCCCAGTTTTTACTATATACAGGTGTCCCACTAGGAGACAACGATTTTTTTAAAATAAACTCTTAAGTCAATTCTAAGCATACTTTGTCTAATAAATTCCTTCGAAATTTCGAATGGCTGCGCCGCAATAATAACACGAAAGTTGGTTTGAGAAATACTTTCTATTCACAAATTGACATTTCAGAAGCATATAAACGCTCCAGAAACATTTAAATGGTTTATTATTAACAAAAGCAATTAATATATTTTTACAAATAAAAATAACCCAGAAATTAAAAAAATAATTGAATTGCGTAAATTGGATGCCTTTTTTCAGTGCTAATCAAGTGTTTCCGCCCGGGACACCTGTATAGTTGAACTTAGAATAAAGGTACCTAAAAGTGCAGTATTGTACCAGTAATATAAAATGGATTTTCTTCGGGAAACGAACTACAAATTTGATTTTACAGTATTGTTGACAGAATTACATCCTCTTCCCGGCCTCTATCTGCTCTCGCAACTAACAAAAAGGGAGGTCAACAAATGTGCACATACTCAAGCAATATTTATGTTCCGAAGCAGAACAAAGGATATCTTTACATTTTCTCAATGGATCATGTTAAAATAGACGGAATTATTGAGACGAAGATTATTGACTTCACCGCTGAACTAAAAAACTTGCGAAAAGAATATTTTGTCTTTTAGAACTATACACAGAACAGTAAAATGGCAACTAATTCATTTGACTTTATTAAAAGAATATGTTTATATTTGATGATCAGTAGTAGTTCATTTCTGATAGTCTCAACTTAACCGTCAATCGATTTTTCGCAAAACATGGATTCTGACAACACTACGTGATGGAGGGAAAAATTTACTGTATAATGGAACAATTTTTATCTATACTTTTTCGTTACCAGGGTCCGGCAATAAGAATTTTTCTGTCAGAAATTTGCCAATTTCCATGTGTACGATTACAATACTTTCTCATTTTACGGAGGACGCGAAGGTAAAAAAAATATATAATTTTTAAGGTGCCTTTATTTGATTAAAATTCAGTGAAAGCTGTATCAAAAGTATAGTGTACTGTAATGCGTGGGGGACATGGGGAGACTAGAAAATTCCTTTTACTTTCTCGCCATTACTAAGTAAAAAGAAAAACATGTAATTGTGCGCCGAAAACGGCTCGTTTTCCACAGACGAATACTTACTGTCGGCCTCTGATAAAGAAATATTGATAGTCTTTGTTACCGGAAAATTAATTGACGGCAATACCATCTATTCGTCCGTAGAGACGGACGGACGGGCAGACAGAGACGTATGGACGGACAGATGGACGGACGGGCGTTTAAACACACTTTTTCAGTATCAGGAGACCCCAAAATGTGTATTTCCGTCGAAATCGTGAAATCGATTTTACCCTGCATTACAAAACTTTCTCACTATTACGAATATGAGAAAGTAAAAGTAAAATATGAAGATAAGTAAAGTAAATAAAAAAATGTTTATTATCAATTTTCAGGTCTTCAATCCATGCTCTTTGTTGACTATTCTACATGAGAATCGCCTTGTGCTGAAGTCTTATGATGACGAAATCACCCAGTTATATGATGGTAAACCACCCTTGAGGGCATGCTTGAAAGTGTAAGTACATTTTCATCGTTACATTAATGATAGTGTTGAATAATATACATTAACATTTGCACACGCTTTATTGCAAAATCTGTTTTCATATTTACAATATACTTTTAAGAACAATTCATATGAACCTTGTTATGCAAACATCTTCTAATAAATAGTAATAGTGGCACTTGCATGGGTTTATATTCAATGTTTTCATTCGATTCCGACTAGTCAAAACAACAAAAATATGTAAAGTTACATACGTTTTGTTTAATATTTTTTTAGTTTTATTTTAAATTCACTGAGGAATTCTGTAAACCTTCAGACGAATCCTATATGACCATTTTGTTGCTGTTTTGACAAGCTGGAATCGAGAATAAATATTTTCAAAATATTATTTGCTCCTCTATTATATTATTTGCTAATATTAGTTATATCTATTGTTACAGACGTTCCTACATCAGAATGCTGGATATTTCCGCATGGTTTATTGTGTTCCTCATGACATTCTCCACTGTTTTCACAGTAAATGGGGTAAGCAACTATCAAATTAATATTTTATAATTACTCAAATTTACTATTTCAATTCTTTAAATCCTGAATTAATCACAATATGACGTATTTCAATTACTGTATATTATTTAATGACAGTGATCTTGGAGTTAGATTTTTAATAGTAGTAAGAAATGGCGTGAGATATAATATCCTCAATATTACAAGTTAAGTAAATCGCAAAGTTTGGTCATAATTGTTTATCTCTGTGTGAAGCTTTACCGACCGTATTGAGGCTATCTTCAGTGAGATTCTATGGCTGCTGATTTGTCTAAAGTGAACCGGAGGACTGCAGACGCGTAAAAATCCGAGAAACTTTTAGCAATTCGTATTTCGCTCGGATTGCATCCCTTGCTCATGGAATTCCTTGGAAGTTAAATTGAGGTTTGAAGATTACCTAACATTTTCCCGCTACCCGTCAATCCGTGAGTGCGAAATATTCTTAGCAAATTTCAAACGAGTGTTTTGTTGGCTATCCCCTTGTAATCGCGTCAGGGTTACTTTTGAAATAAATCATTGTGGAACGTGACTGGAATATATTATATCGATCTACTTTTTTGTTCAATGGAGCAATGCTGAATTAATCTCGAGTTTTTTATGTACAAAAATCGGACCTAAATCTGCCTTAGCACCAAACTTCAAATATCACAATTTTACATTTTAAAATTTAACATTTAAAACTATTAATGTTTAATTCTTATTATTCAATTTTAATCATTTACATTTTTTTAAATACCTAAAATAATATTGAGAATACAGCGCCCAGTATTTACTTACTAAAGTAACATGCAGCCACACTATTAAAAAAACCTTTTCTTAACCAAACCATGCCGTAGATATAGACCAAACTGCCTTTACTATAATATGGATTAAGAAAAAACGATTTTTCAGGATTCATATCTAAATGTTTTTCGAACTTCAAGGAAGGTCATTCAACCTTTCCAAATATTTTTTTCGTCTTATAGTATTGGAAACGAAGTTTGACAGGAAATTTGACGAGGGTACAAAAGTGACATAAATGTAAAATTTTATAAAGAAATAAGCATATTACATAAAAAAAGGGATTAGTGTTCCTGCATGAAGTTTTTAAAAATAATTTGATAGCCTGCAACTGTTAGATTTCCACCTGGCCATGCGTCTTTAATTTCCTGTTTCGGTAATCGTCTGACAGAATTTGAAGAGAACTTCATCAATTTGAGAAATTCCACACCACACTTTGTGCATAATATAGCGCGCCAGGAAAGTCTTTCCCCAGTAGCACTTTGCTTATGAGAGTACTTGCAACAGAAATTATGTTGGTAACACGACCTGTAACAAAAAAAACGTAATTGCGTACTAATCAAAATAGTAATAGTTGCTGCAAGTGCTGTCGCATTCACTTGTTTGCCAGTGATATATTTCCTATCAACATACACATAGTTTAATAGGAGGCCCTGATTCGGCTGGGTGCTGAAATACTTTCCTACCGCACTACAAAATAACGTAAACAGGCAAAACATTCATTTTGTCATATCTAAGTATGTCATGGGTTCTCAGACAAATGTAATCTGCATTTTAGCAGCCAGTGGCTTGCCGTAAATGAAATTAAATATTTAAAGCGGTTTAACCTCCTTTCTCCGCTAGTTGGTGAAAGGAGCGTAGCGAAAATTTGCGTGGTCAGACGGAAGAGCGGGCCTGATGGCCCGAGTCTAGCCACATAAAATAAGGCAAATTCAATTCAATTCAATTCAATTCAATTTAACCTTCCACATGGTTGGCTTCCAGATCTGTCATATACTAGATATGAATCAGTCCTCTCACACTCCTTAACACTACACCATCCGATACGTATCTTCCTTCCAAACAAAATAGCCCTTTATCGATTTGCAGTAAAATGCAATATTACTTCTGTAAATTTTTTTTTATGATTTCGTAATCGTGGAACTCGCTATACATTACGATACATAGGATAGATTTTCGTGCCCAGGTAGGCTTTGCCGCCGAGCACTGTTACATGCCGCTGCCGGTCATCTCAAATTGGAAGTTTGTCAAGTGCAACTAGAATTGCAAGTTTAAATACTCTAATTTGCATGTTGCTGTCGCCCAAGTTATTTAAAAACACTTTGACTTGCGCAAATTATCAAATATGTGGGCCGAAACATGTGTAGTTTTGGAAGGCATCTTCTACCCAGTACGCAAGTTTTTGATAGCAAAATGCACGTGTGATTTGTAATCAACTCAAAACTCAGAAGATTTATGTGAAGTATTTATGCAAATGAAGATTCATATATATATTCTTAAAGTTCAATGAACACATACTTTTCAATTTTAAAAGTTATTTGAAATAATGAAATTGTGTTTCTAAGTGTATTATTATTTGTTATTATTTATTAAATTTGTTATTGAAATAATGAAATTGTGTTTCTAAGTGTATTATCTTTAGTTTGCATTTGAATTAATCGAAATCTTTTGTTCACAGGTGATGAGTGTCTTTTGGGGAAATGTCCTAAAATACAGCATTAGAACCTCTTTGTCTTATTCCATTTGCTTGGTCTCTCTTCTACCCTGGATGAGTGGCAATGTGCGCCGTTTTCAATTGTTACCTGAAGCTATTTCAATTTACTCAATATTTTTGAGTGTAATCACGCCAATGGTATTTCGTTTGGAATCAAATACTGACGAAGTGTCAGAGCATTACCCTTTTGTTGACTTGATGGTGTCTCTTGGCTCAATTGTTGTTTTGACAATACGATTCCTTGCAATGGTGAGAATATTTTTAATTATCTGTTTAAATATCAATTAACTTGCCCCTGCCCCCCCAGATATAAATTAAACACATATTACAATAGCATTATTTTCTCTATATTCGTTTCATATTTTCATTGCCATATATATTTTTATCCACCTTACGAACTACTCTTAATTATAAACCTTCAATAGTCATTACCATTCCCTAATTTTATATTGCACGTTTACTCTTTTTCCTCAAGTTTATTACAAATTACTCATTATTTCCCGTGTCTAATAGATCTTACAACAATTTATGTCACTCAGGCGCTTCATTATAACCTCTTTCTCTTTTCCCCATTGTATTAATCCTATTATTACCTATCCTATTTCTTCCTTTTTATTATCTCTGTTTTAATTCCCTTTCCCCTAGTTCTCAACCAATATCCTAACTACAAATCGTGCTTTTGTCTCCCTGTATGAATTATTGTTTTCTACATCCTAACTACGTCTAATTTCCCTCGCCACCTCCTTACGTTTCCTATTACCTTCATCTTCTACTCTCCCACACTATCATCTTGTAAAAATTTATTTCACCTTTTCCCTGAAATTTCTACTATTCTCTCTAACCATTTACTTCCTGAAGCAAACACCCTGAAAATGCACCGGGTCTCTTTACATTCTTCACAAATTCTACAAATCTTTTTTCTCTTTTTCTGCCTATTACATCCTACATCTGCCTTCCATTTTCCGCCCTAACTCTTGTTGTTCTGTTCCTACTAATCTCACTTCTTAAATCTATAATGTGCCTTGGCCTTCCCCAAGTTCTAATTTCCTTGAATTTTACGTTATATCTCAACAACCTTATTTTCCCAAAAGGCCTTTCTCGCCTGTCCGAGTTCAATATCTCTTTCATTCATAAATTCAATTACAACTACCCTGAGGCGGCTAAAATCATGGGATAGCAATATTCAAATATATAGACGGTAGTAGAATCGCGTATAAAAGTTATAAAAGAGTAGTGCAGTGGCTGGACGTACGGCGAACCTATCCGTTAGCACTGTGGCGAAATTTGACTTTATTGGACTATGGCAGCAAAAAACCCGATGCGTTTTTTCTAACTACGACATCGCCTGGATCATTCCTCATGACCATATCGAGTGTATTCCAAGAAGACTTAAAAATCGTGGCTTACTTAGACGAATACCGATTTTAGTTCGCAAGAACTGATAGGGTTCGAGTGTGGCGGAGACTGCATGAAGCCGTAGAGCCAAGTTGTCAACTAGGCACTGTGCTAGGTGTCGTGGGCTGTTTTTACACGGAATGAACTGAGTCTTTTGGTCCAACTGCACCGATCATTGACTGGAAATGGTTATGATTAGTTATTTGGAAACAATTTACAGTCGTTACAGGTCGTACAGTGTTAAAATTGATACTATATAATTTTAAAAGTCTAAATATTCTCTAACAAGTAACATGCTTCAACATCTTATCAATGTTCCCTAACTTAACCAGGTGTTTGTCCAGTTTGCCTTGGTAAAGTGAGCAAATACCGAAATGGCCCCTTGTTTTGCTTCTGAATTTTAAATGTAGCTCTAGGAATGGTTAATGGTTGTTGGTAATTTCATTAAAAAAACTCCTAGCTTGGCAACGTTTCTAAATGTTCTTCACCATGCGCACATTTTGTTGAACTCTCTTTTTGCTTACGAGAAGAGTACCGCCAGAGGATTGTTATTTAGTCAGCAATACAATGAAGTCAAATCTGTAGTTTGTTTGTCTATGGAAATGTGTTTTCTATTACTCGAGAGAAAAAATTTCTATTTTTCAAATGATCGTCCGAACAGACGGGTGATAAGTATAATCTACTTGAATTGAAGAATCAGTACAGATAAATGACAGATCCAAACCAGACGTCTAGGGAATAGGCATCTAGAACATAATGGAGGCTGCTAAAACTACGCGAAAATACTCGTAGGGATGTTAACGGAAGGCGAAAAGAAATATAGAGAAGAGGGATATGGAATCGACACGGAAATAAGGATATTAACGCGACAGGAATAGATAATACCCGTAATCTGTAGTGCAAATAACGTTCCGAAGATAAAGGGAAGTTATAAAATAGTTTTAAAAAATTATAAAAAAATATTTTCCTATTCGCATTTTTCTCGGTTCACAGACATATGACGCTGCAGAGGAATACCTGGCTCATGACTTCGGCGAACAAGTACGAGCCCTCTTAAGGCACACTCCTGAAGATTGGCACTATTACGTGACAATGGCGATTATGTTTGGTTACCGTCTTTCTAATCAGTGAGTATTTTTGTCAATTTTACAATTTTAATGTGATCAGTTCCAAATGACGGACAGAACATGTTAGAATTTATTTACAGCTCTAGAAGTGAGAATCCTGAAACATAATATTCTCCTTTCATTTAAGCTCTTCCTTTTTTAAAATTTCATTCTTAATTCCGATTTTAAACATATCTTAAATTTATGGATGTAAATTATTTAGGTTTATTATTAGTTATGCCATATTACTGGAAGTCCACAGAATTCAATTTAGTTTCGACAAAATCATGCGCTGTTAGTTTTCTCAATCATCTCATTTCTGTATATTCCAATGTAGACATTTGCAATTTCGTCAGTGTACATTGGCATTCAGATTGAGAAAACAGTGTTAAAATGTGAAATAGCTCTGTAAAAAGTATTAAACGTTTTACAATGGGATATTCAAAATCTTCATAGATAGTTATGAACATATGAATTTTGCAATAAATATCACATATTAAGCGCGATAATTTGTTCTTAGATACTGGAAGATCTTATTTTGCAAATTTATGAGTGTTTAGTAATTGTCTATATATATATATATATATATATATATATATATATATATATATTGTTAGAATCATATGAAGTCTAGAATTAAAAAAAAATTATTTCTGTCTGCCTCAATTTCATAATATATCTATACATTTTAACTAGTTCCCATATTGTAATCTCTTCTTTTACTTGCTCTTTCTACGTTCTTAGGCAGTAAAGATAAATTATTATAATGGGTGCAACAGAAAGGGGCGATTTTTCATCTGAAAAAATGGTATTGTAGGGCCCTGACATCGGAAAAGATAAATCTTGTTTCTACATATAGTAACTTACTTCAACACCTTGTGAATTCATAATTCACTATTTGTTGACTCTTAACACAGAAAAAGTGTCTTACGGCGAAACGCCTGCCTGCTGCCTGTCTGTCTGTCCCCTTGCGCGTCTGTTTATCCGTATGTCCGTCCGTTCGTCAATTCGTTCATCCAAATGGCTATAACTCCGTTTTTCACCTCGTCGATTTGCCTGTGTGGCGTCATACGGGTTTAATCGAACACAAACGATAGTAGTTTGTAAAACAGTAGATTTATTAACAATCTAGACCGTAGTCTCAATTTAACAACTACCCTGCTCACAATAAACTAAATAAATAGACCCACTACAAGGAGAGATAATTTAAGAACTGCTACCACACCGCAACATACCACCGATGTTCCCTGTATGAAGCCGCTCTACTTTGAGACCATCTACGCGTCTCGCAAGTCACGACAATGGATTGCCGGCCCCTCGCCCAAGTGCACCTACACTCAAGACACGCGCTTCACCTGTCGCCGACGCCGCTAGAACAAGAAGACTGGGGCACTGTTCTCCTGGCCTTACATAGGCCATTTTGGCGCTACCCGCCGCCACATTGCCTCCTCCCCAAAGCCGCTCTTTGCCCGCTACGTCCACGGAAAGTCCCAGTGCGTTATCATTTCGCCCTTTGTTTAACATTCGGCGGTGCTCGCCGATTTCCACGTGGTTATCTGTTTTGAGCGTGGCACGACGCTACACTAGATGCCAATATCTCCTGCAAGCCGTCATGTATGTCGATGCCAAGTCTCACGTTTAACAGTGGAGAGATCCCGCCACATCCCGCCATATAACATTCACTACACTAACGGGACTAATGATCATACCAGTTGATGACCTCAGACAAGCAGAATAATATATGAATGAAATCGTGTAAATTTTTCAAAAAAGCGGAATATTTTAAAAAATTTTTGTATTGGCAGATTGTAGTGTATTGAAGTATATGCTACACGGAATTTTTATTTATATATTTGATTTTTCAAAAATCATACAAAACTAAAGATAACGAGAGGCACGAGGAAGGAAATTATATTTCTTTTTGCAGCATGGTCTCTACAAAGTTCAAAATAACATTTTTTAAATGTAAAATCTAGTTAAGAATATGGAAAAGCACTTAACAGGGAAAAATAATTTCAAACAAACATATAGCCTTTTAATTCGTCAATGACATAATTTAATTTTTTTAAATTACCGCATCAAGCCATTTTTACAAACTCAAAACAGCAAATTTTAAATTATTAGTTTCGTACCATATCAGCACTCATGAATTTTCTTACGATGTAGGACGTTTTGATTTTGATAGCCTTTTGGACATTAATATTACCATTTGAATTCATGACGAGATACTTCATCCTTGTCAGACATTAATTTTGCATATTGCAGAGATTGAAACTTTAATAATATTATTGTTTTCGCATCAAAAGATAATCTTGCATTCTACGTCTCTGAAACGAGGGTAGAGTGACTCGACTTCGACGATTAAAAAGTGTTCTAAAGGTCACGCATTCTGTCCGGACCAGTGGGGATGTGTTTTTGTACCGATAAAAATATCTAGAATAGGTTTCATCAGAAGCGAAGCAAACCCCTTTGATATATAATACAATCTTAGCAATGAAGGAAATATCTCGCTCTTGATGAAATCCAAGGGCAATTTCCATTCAGCGTGCTCTTAGAACGAAGCGACGTGAGAGAGTTGTAGAAGACTTTTTGTGGTTGTTTTGTGGTCATTAATTTTAAATAGATCGAAGGTGACCGACGCGCCATGTGTCCTGGGTGGCCGTTGAGGTATCGGAAAAGGTCGCGGCGGACGGCGCCGGAAAGGCGGGGGCAGGGAGGAAGGCCGGCGCGGGGGCCTCGGTCCCTGGGCGACGCAGGGCGGAGTCTGCGCACAGGCCGCCGCTCGCAGCCAGTCGCACGTGTGCAACAAGCGAATGGAAACAGCCAGATCAGGCTGCACTCCCCCAGTTTTGCTTTTCTTCTTTCTTGGCGGGCGCGGTCGATCGTCTGACGTATTCGGCGCTTGCCTCGTGCCAATAACGACCGCAAACGACCTGAATTCTGCAGACGAAGAATGAGTCTCGCCATGAACTTGTGCTCGGGGAAATAAAATGAAAAATTGGCGTATAAGCATAAAATGCAAAAAGCAATGTTGTATGTAAAATGACATTTTCCTCTCAGAGTTGTAATTATTATAGTATATGTTAACTTACATTTCGTTACAGAGAACATATGACTCTCGTAGAGTATGTATTCCTTCTACTGCTAATCATATATTATAGTATCGGTCTTATAGGAAAGCACTACTAAGGAATGACTACAGGATATTCAATTCCCTTCAAAACAATTGAAATTTATGACGGTTGTTTTAAATACTTATTGCATTGTTCGTAACTTTCTTCCAATAGAAAACTAATATTGATAGTTTATTAGAGTTATCTTCGTACATTTTGTGACATTTTTAGCTTTATTCGACAGATTTTGAATTTTGGGGGTACATTTTTAGGAGATTCGTTTGGGGAATCAGGTCTAAATTATCCACGTGTGAAGGATAGATTCTAACATTTCCACACGTTTTGGGCTAATATTCGTCTGTCACATTGTAGGTAAATGGTTCTGTGGTTCAAGGCATTGATTAATGATGCTGCAATGCCTGTGACCAGGATGTCCTAGGGTTTGAGTCTCAATAGCAGCAGGATTTTCGACACTAGCTACATAGCTATATCGAATTCATTGGCTGTCTGGAGGAGAATTCTAGCGGTTGGCTGCTCTCATCAGTATATTTCTCTGGTTTCCCTGACCAACACCAGGCGAATGCCGGAGCGTAACTACTGTAACAAGGCCGCGGACCGCGCGCGATTTTTCATCCCTTCCTTTGAAAAATATAACACTGTCTTGGTTTAAGCACAAAACCTGATTTCCACAAAAAAACTTTTTTTTTACAAAAACAGTCTGAACAAAAACCATTTTTATTTTAAAAAAGTGTTTCCTTCAAACGTACGGTAAAATCAGTATTATGGGTTTTAAAATTACTGTGGAATTCAGATAACCTACTTCTTGTGTTGCCCTAAAATTTAATTTTTTATGTGTGTTTTTATTGAAAAGCATTACGTAATGGTTGTTGTCCATTGCCAAATTGTATTAGATTTAATACAATACTGATACTATCTTAATTCCATTTAATTAATGTACTAGATTATAATATATATATATATATATA